GGGCAGTGGCTAACCCAGCCTTTGCCTGAGGCTATCCAGCAAAAGCCTCCCTGCAGGGCTTGGGCGGGACAGGGTCCCATGGGATCAACAGGGCGGGGTTAGCAGTTATGGTGTCTCCGCTTCTCAGTATCCTGGAAATCCCTGCAGCCCCTCTGAGAGAAAGCTGCCCTCGAGTTCTGACCGATGCCAGACAGTTCTGCTTCTCCCATATGAGTCTGGGTCCCTAGAGACTCACCTGGAACTGCAGTTCAGAGCAGTCAGGAGCTTGTCTCTCTCTCCAGATTGAAAAAGACAACCGTGTCCTCAGTTGCCAGCCCTTTCCACGTGTGCCTCCGTACCTCTGCACTTTACTTCCGCACCTCCTCTGAGTCTCAGTGTGCTTTTCTCTTTCCTTCTAGTTGTAGAATTTCCACTCAGCCAGCCTTCCTGTGGCTCTGGATGATGTCCGTTTTGTCTTTTAGTTGTATTTTTGAAGTGGTTGTGCGAGGCAGCAATTTCCAGTGATTACCTATACCACCATCTTGGTTTCTCCTCTAACTGACCTTTCTTAATGTCAAGTCTGATCCCCAATTCTCTCTTTTTTTTTTTTGTTCTTCCCCTATTTTTCTCATATAGGAGCAGGGTAGATGAGAGAATATTCAGGATATGAGATTGGATGTGAGAAAGAAAAGCAGACTGAAGTGATAAATTGAAAGAGAAAAAAGTCTACTCCTAAATGTATATGCAAAATGCAGGCTGGGGATAGCATGTCAAAGTACTATCCAAATACAGTGAAATGGAATTACGTGCACTTATGTATTTATCAGATCCTATTGGAGAACTTAGAAGAAGAAAAAACCTCGGGAAATTCTCAAATTCTCCCGAGAAAAGTCCAAGAGAAAACAATGCTTGAAATGAAATCAGGTAGAGGAGCATTAGACATCAATAGGTTCTTCCAAGTCTGATGCTAGCAGAAAGGAAGCTATGAATGTTCTTTCTTGGAGCCTTTCAGCATTGGAGAGTTACCCTCCTGTCAGGGCTAAAGGAGGGAGTTTCCCCTCCACGGTCTTCCAGCTAGACAGACTCTGCCTGGGCCAGGCTGGTCCTCCCAAAGGCCCTCACCATGGCCCCCTTCATTTCCTTGTTTCAAAAATTGTAGATGATGGGGTTGCACATGGGGGTCGTGATGGTGTAGAGGAGGGAGAAAAACTTGTCTTTATCAAGGTTGTGTGTGCAGTGGGGTTTCATGTAAGAGAACATGGCCAGGGTGTAGAAAAAGATGACCACAGTTAGATGGGAGCTGCAAGTAAAAGAAGGTCTTCCCCTGAACTAAGGAGGAGGCTCTGCCAAGGATGGAGGTCAGGAATCGGGCCCAATGACAGTGAGCGCCACTGGGCTGAACAGCACCATGATGGCATAGGCAAAGATCATCTTCAGATTAAACAGAGGGATCTCCACAAGAAAAGGTTTTTTATGTAGTTGTCTCTACAAAATGGGCCATGAAATGTCATATAATCAAGCAGTATGCCATTGATCAGCCCAAAGAACCAGGCAATACTCACAAGTTTCACACCGACCTGCTAGCTCATGATCTGGGCATAACTAAGCACATAGCAACATAACAATCTTAGGTCATAACAGCCAAGAGGATGCCCTTAGCTACAACACACCAAAACCCAAATACATTTGGGTCAAATAGGCAGCAAAGGAGAGAGTATGATTCGTGACAGGGTCTGTCCAGGCCGCGAAGATGATGAGGCCCTTCATGGCCATGGCCAGGCTTGTAGAGCACTAGAAAGAGGCAACGAGCAAAGCCTGGATGGAAAGGGAGCTCTGCTCAAAGCCCACTAGGATAAACTCTGTCACTGTGCTTCGTTCCTTAGTTCCACCATCGGGCCTGCTTGAGGAGGGAGGACAGGAAACTTACAGGTGAGAAAGCTGTGTGTAAGTGCTACCTACTTGTCTAAAAACAGAGTGGGGGCAAAGGAATGAAAAGGACAGGAATTTCAGTAAACTCCCACATGAGTCAGCAGTGTTGAGGGCACTGAAAAGGTCAGGCTATTATAGTCTGCAGTAATGGAACAATATTATGAACTACGGGAGGTTCTATTGTACTTTTGATTAGGCTGTGTATGAAATATTGTATCCAGTCTGGGAGCCCTATTTTAAATGATTATCTATAAAAGGGATTATGTTCAGAGACAAACAAGATAGTGAAGGATCTAGGAACCATGTGACAAATTTTGAAGGAAACTTTAAAGGGAAGTTTCAGAGAGAATCCTAGAGGTCCCTTTAAATGTTAATAGGTTTTCTCTCTAGAAGAGAGAATTACTTTTGCCATGTAATCTCAATGAGTAGAACTTAAACCAGAGAGTGGAATTATCAGAGAGAAAAATTACAGGTATTTCTAATTATAAGTTTTCTTTGTTCTGTTAACTATGAAAGTAATACCTGCTCATTATAGAACACCTGGAAAATGCCAAAAAGCAAAAGCAAAAATAAATAAGTATAAAGAATAACCCAGAGTGAAACCATGTCAATATTTTAGTTTATATATTTTTAGTAATTATTTTTCTATGTTTAAGACCAACACAAGGCCTGAGCAGAATCTGCTACAGGAAATTAAATGTTGGGGAGAAGTGTATCTTCAGGAAGAAATTCAGCAATTACAGCTGATTCCAGGTTAGGGAATCTGCTACAAGTCCAACAGTGAGAAAGTAAAAAGGATAAAAATTCATTTCTCATTTGAATGGAGAACTGAGAACAATTGCATTCCACCCCACTTTACAGCCCCAAATAGTTTATTCATTTAATAACTGGGTACCTCCTATGATCCATGTATTGTGCTAGGGACCAGGAATATAAAGTCATTCATAAGAACTTCTTCCATGATCTCATGGGGATTATACTACACTGAGTGGCCAAATTATTATGAGCACCTGACGTTAATAGGCAAATTAGCTATAGTTTCACGCTGAAGCTGCTAGAGGGCCAGACCGTGACTGGTGCCCTACCTTGGTCTGGCACCCCCAGTCGCCTACTCCACCATCCCGCTATGGCCAATGCCCACCATGTTCCACGCTCTGCTGCCTGCTGCTGACGCCCTCCGTGTTCCACACACGCCCCCTAGTGGTCAGCGCACGTCAATAGCGACTGGTTGTTCAGTTAGGTTGTTCCACCATTTGGTCTATTTGCATATTAGCCTTTTATTATATAGGATGGATAATATTAACAAGAAAGTACACATTTCAGTAAACTCCCACATGAGTCAGCAGTGTTGTGGGCAGATATATTTCAAACTCTATTACCTCCATAGAGGGAATGTACCCTTTTGAAGGGTTATGAAACATTTGCAAAATACTGTTGATAGATTAGAGTGTTGACATAAAGAAAACTTAAATGAATTCCAAAAAGCCAAACAGTGCAGACTATATTCACCACACTTATAGGCATTAAAATGCTTAAATTTCTGTATACAGGAAATTTCTTAAAAGTATGCTTATTTTCTCCCCTTGAGGTATGAGAAGAAGTATCGGGGTCAGTTTGTGTATGGACTTTTTCTTAGGAATATTATTTATCATCACATTGTATACTTTAAATATCTTACAATGTTGTCAATTATACCCCAATAAAGCTGGGGGGGAAAGTCTGTCACATCTAAGTGGAAAAAATATTGTTTTGTTTTTTACCTCAAGAAAAAATGTAAACTCTCACTGAATATTTTAAATTTAGAATGTGTTGTTTTGATAAACTGTAGATAATATTCTTCTGGTCAGCAGAGCCACCAGGAGTCATGTAGTTTGTGCACTGCACAAAGACTCCTGAAGGGGGAGTGAATGCTGAGATCCAGCCTGTGCTCAATCTACCAAGCTGTGCACCTTACCTTGGTGAGGGGCTGTGTAAATTCAGTGGAAGTGGTGATTTTTCTAAGCATTCCCTGAGTGAGAGAGTAACTTTTTGTAATTAGCCCATTTGTCTTAGGGAAGCCCTGCTAATCTGGCCACTCAGTGTATATCCCAAGTCATTAGGTCAGAAGGATAAGTAACAATATAGAGAATTCTTATACAGTGCGGCTTTGACTTACGAGTTTAATTCATTCCGAGACCGAGCTCGTTAAGGAGCTTGTTAACTCAAATTACTTTATCAACTCAAAGCAAATAATCAGCTGAGAGACAGCTGGTATCTCAAAAAACTCGTAAGTCAGGACACTCGTAAGTCAAGGCCCCACTGTACTATATTAGGGGCCAGTGCATGAAATCGTGCACTTTGAAAGGAACTGTGGGCCGTGAGGCTGCAATAGGTACAGGGGTGGGTCTCAGCCTATCCTCCGCACCCCTCCCTGTCCCCTCCCACCACGGCCCCTGGTCCTCTGTCTGCTGGCAGCCCCCGCTACCTGCTGCTGCTGCTGGTGCTCCCACACACTGATGGCGCTGGCCCCATTTGCACCCGCTGACAGCGTGGAGCAACTGGGGCTGGTGTCAGCAGTGGGGGCAAGTGAGGCGGGCACTGTCAGCAGATGCAAGCAGCGGCTGCTACCCCGATCAGCTCCTGAGGGCTTCTCCACCTCCCCCTGCTCAAGGGGCAATTGGGCATTGGGGGGAGCCTCTGGTGTTTACTGAAAATTCTTTGCTCCCGTGCACCATGGTCCCGCCTGGCACTTGCACCTGCTGCTGGTGCTGGCCCCGCTTGCACCCACTGCCAACACCCAGCACCGGCCCCGATCGCTTGGCACTGTCAGCAAGTGCAAGCAGTGGCAGCCAGCCCGATTGCCCCTCAGGGCTTCTCCACCCCCTCCAAAAGCCCTGAGGGGCGATCAGGGCCGGCAGCCGTCTCTCGCACCCACTGACAGCACCGAGCAATCGGGGCCAGCGCCAGGTGCCGGCAGTGGGAGCAAGCGGCGACTCCAGTGCTGGCAGCAGGTGTGAGTGGGGCCGGTGTCGGCAGCAGGTATGAGCACCAGGCAGGACCAGAGCTGTGCACCTTACCTTGGTGAGGGGCTGTGTAAATTCAGTGGAAGTGGTGATTTTTCTAAGCATTCCCTGAGTGAGAGAGTAACTTTTTGTAATTAGCCCATTTGTCTTAGGGAAGCCCTGCTGGTCAGGAAGATCTGGCCATGTGAATATTTCAACTTTAGCACTTAAAAATTTTGTCTCATAGGATTGATGAAGTTCTAATTAGATGAGAAGAAATATGTTTATGTTCCTCTGAGTGGGTTTTAGGAATAAAAAATTAATAGTTATTTTTTCCTAATGCAGTGGTACTCAAAGTGTGGTCCACAGACCAGCAATAGCCATGTCACCTGGCAACTTGATAGAAACACAAATCATTGGGCTTTATCCTAAATCTACGGAATCATAAACTCTGGGGCTGGGGTCCAGCAATCCCACCATGTGTTTCTGATGCACATTAATTGTTGAAAACTATGGCCCTCAAAGCAAATATAGCCCATTGACTATTTTAATAAAGTTTAATTGGAACATAGTCTCACCCATTTGCTTGTATATTGTCTGTTTGCTTTCCCACTTTAACAGCAGAGCTAAATAGTTGTCACAAGGACTACATAGCCTGCAAATATTGTTTTCAGATTTAGCAAATAAGAATATAACATGCCCATTTAAATGTTATTTTCAAACAATGAATACTTTTTTATTATCAATATGTTCCATGCAATATTAGTAACCCAACACACAAAGCCTAAAGTATTTACCAACTTGGCCCTTTACAGAAAAAGTTTGCTGACTTTTGTTTAATGTAATGATCTTAGAGTGGACTTGCTTCTGACAGAAGCATGTAAGGAAGCAGTGAAAAGAGCTTTAGTCCTGATCACACACCTGGGATTCTGGTGCACTGAGTCTCAAGCATTTCCTTTCCAAGAAGACAGCTCAAACTAAAAGATCAGTCTGCCTGGGGTGGAATGGCAGTTGGTGCCACGTATTTTCCTGTTTATTATATTGAATATATCGGTTGTGTTTCCTTTTTAAAGTGCCTGGTGTTACACATATTCAATTAAGATCAAGCAGATGTTTTAAAAGAATTATCCCACTAATACAGAAGCAATTCTGTGACAACAATAAAACTAGTCATCATTATAAAAATAACCTTATCTACTTGAAAATCAGTATAACAAAAAGCTCTCTGAAAATAACTGTTCAATCAAAAAGGAAACTAAAATTCCAATTACAGACTTTCTAAGATAGGGATGGGGAACCTTTTCCTGCCAAAGGTCATTTGGATATTTATAACAGTATTCACTAGCCATACATAATTATCAACTTAAAAATTAGCCTCCTATAAGGCTCCTCCCTGGCCCGGGCCCTGGTCAGGGCATGTGCAGGGGGCAACCAATCAATGTGTTTCTTTCACATCAATGTTTCTCTCTCTTTCCCCCTCTCACTCTCTCTAAAAATCAATGGAAAAATATCCTCAGCTGAGGATCAACAACAACAAAATTATCCTGCTATATTTGGTCAAATATTTAATTAACTCACCCCTAATGCCTTGGTAGGACCAGACCATATGATTTCTTGGGCCTTAAATCCCCACAGGTCGGATATTCCCCACCCCTGATCT